ATTTTCATCCAAGACAGGTGGGCCTCCCACTACCCACCGTTGGGGAGTAGAAGGCAGTGCGGAGAGACACCGTCTACCTTCACAGGGAGTTGCAGAATCCCCAGCAGGCCTGTGAGCAGACTCACAGGTAAGTTAGTGCAACTAACTAGGTTAGTGATCTTCTTACAGATATGACTATTTAGCTTAAGAAGTTCCAAAAACAACAAAACACAGTACGGGCCCAAAGAAAGTAGAAATAAGGAAATAATAAAGACAAAAGCAGCCAGGTGCAGTGGTGTTCACCTGTCATCCTAGCAGCTCAGGAGGCTGAGGTAGTAGAATCACAAGTTCAAGGCCAGGACCAGCGATTTAGCATGCCAGGCACTAAGCATCTTAGCAAGATCTTATCTCAAAAGAAAAAATTAAAAGGGCTAGGGATGTGGCTCAGTGGTAAATCAGCCCTGGGTTTAATTCCCCCACCCCGACCCCCCAAAAATTCATGACATAGGAAATACATATACAACAGAAAAGACTAACAAGTCAAAAGTTAGTTCTGTGTAACGATGAATGAAAGTGATAAACCTCTGAGAAGACTGATGGGAAAGTCAGCAGGAATAAGTAGATTGAGGACCTCCAAGGAGGACACAACGGCAAACACCACAGGGAGTTTATTGTAAGGAGAATACTAAAATAAACTGCAGATAAACCGTAAGTCTTACGATGAGACGTCTGAAAACCTTCCCAAGATTAACACTATCCTAGAAATATAAGATATCTAGAAAGATATCTTACCAGTACTCCATCAAGAAAATTTGAGATGTATGACCATTAAAGAAATTTCAATATGTAGATAAAAGTCCATCTACCACCCTCAAAAAAAAAAATACCCCTCACATCACTAGCCTCATGATTTTTACTGCAGTCTACCAAACATTCAAAGAACAGGCCGCTCCAATCTCATACTTTTTTCAGAAAATAAAAAGAAAGCAAGGAAGAAAGAAAAAGAACATCCCTAGGCTCCATTTCATGAGCAGAGTATGATTTTTTTTTCTTTTTTTTTTGATACCAAGGGTTGAACCCCAGGGCGCTTAATCACTGAGCTACAACCCCAGCCTTTTTTTTCTATTTTATTTAGAGATAGGGCCTTGCTAAGTTGCTGAGGCTGGCTTTGAACTCTCAATCCTCCTGCCTCAGCCTCCCAAGTCACTGAGATTACAGGTGTGTTCCACCAGGCCTGGCCATCGTGTGATCTTAAAGACAAAGACAAATGCAGACAAGTACAATATGGGAAAGGAAGATGAGAGCCAATCTGGCTAAAATACAAACATTCTACACAAAGTATTAAACAGAACCTGGCGTTGAAAGGCAAAAACATGATAGACCATGACCAAGATGGGTTCTCCCCAGGAAGGAAAAGATAGTTTGAAATATTTTAAAAATTTGCTCCTACAATTCACTACATTAATAGATTAAAGAAGAAAAATAATCTGATCAACTCATAGATGCTAAAAAAGCAATCCATAAAGTTCAACACTTATTATTGATTTAAAGATAAGAAAGCAAACTTGGAAGAGAAGAAAACCTCATAGCCCAATAAACAGTGTCTACAATCACACTACATAATGGAATGTCAGGATTGCTGTCAAAACTAGGAGGGAGACAGGGAAGCCTCTGTCACCACTTCTAGTTACCAGGTAAAGGGAGACAAGAAAAAGAATAAGGAATAGTGATTGGAGAAACACAATGTCATTATTTCCAGACAGTCTGATTACCTATTAAAAAGCCTGAAAGAATATATATATATATATTAGAATTAATGCAGAGGAAGAGGCTATAGACAGATAGGGAACCCAGGTATCCTGACAGCTGGCTGCCCCACCAGTCTGTCTGGTGGCTCCTGACCTTGTCCCTGGTCTCCTCCTGGAATCCCTCTCTTCACAATATACCCAGATGTCAGCAACTCTTGTTGAGGACCAGCTCCGGCCAGGCATAGTGCAGGACACCTCTGCTTAGTCTGGAGGGGTTGGTGACTTGTTGCGAGGGAATTTCCCACTACTGGTTAGGGTGTTGCTGATGTGGAATATGGAGTTGTCCTCAGAGCCAGGCCCTTTGATTCTGCCCACAGCTGCCTTCAGTTGGTGACATGGGTGTGGGCAGAGAAAGCCTCAGCATGGGACTGCATCAGAATTCTTGGTGGGATTCTCATTTTAGCAGTGGGGTTGGACATGAACCCTATGGAAGGACCCAGGCTGGGCAGGGAATGGGCTCTTCAATTTCTGAGGATGCTCACCTCCCTCACCTGTCAGACAGGCTCTTCACACCAGATAAGTGACCTGACCCTGCTGGTGGACAGCCTGGAAGCAGAGAGAAGTGGAGTGCAGAGTACCAGGGCCCAGGGCACCAGCCCCCTCCACCCTGCACCCTTACCAGGCTTGGTTCTTGTTGGCTCCCTCTATCTTCCCCCAGCCCACGAGTCCTTCCTGGGCCTCTCTGTACCCAGGGGTAGTTAATATGCATTTCAACCCCGTCAGATCCAATCAACTCTGGTTACTTCACCGAGCAACCAACCCAGAGGGAAGTCACATAGGCTCGGTCACCAGGGAACAGGGCATGTGAGGATAGAGGGCAGCAGGGACAGAGGCAACCAGATCTCACCTGCCTCTGAGCAAGGAGAAGAGGATAAGTGGGGTTCAGGAGAGGGCTCTGGAGGGGCCAGAGGAGACAGAGATAAGGAGAAGGGCAAAAGACTTGGGGACCAGAAGAGCATGGGGAGTCATTCCTCTTCCCAATGTGCTCAGAGACCCTCGGATAAGGGGCCATGCCTGCCCCTCAAAGTGGTAGCCTCTTGTACCCTGGAAGCCAAGGACAATGTTAGTTATTGACTGCTGCTTAACCAATGAGTCCAAAACATTGTGGCTTAAAACCACAGTACACATTTCTGATCCTTCACTATGGACGGGGGCCCTCCTGGCTGGATGTTTGTAGCACAGGGCTTCTCATGAGATCTCAGGCCCTATGTCAGCCAGCTACAGTCACCCGAAGGCTTGCCTGGGACTGGAGGATCCACTTTCACAGTAGTCCGTTCAACTGGTCCACAAGTTGGTGATGGCCATTGCCAGGAGGCCTCAATTCCCTCCTCATGAACCTCTTTATTGGGTGGGTTACATGAGTGTCCACATGGATGCTCCACTCTGAGTCCACTCCGCCATATGGGAGCTGCTGTGGTCTGATACTTCCTATCTACCTTTGAAATTAAAGTTGGCCACCAGCCTTCTCTGGGAAAGGGAAGAGTGGGCAGGAAAGGGACTCTTTCCAGGGTAGATGATCAACATCGGAGGATCTACAGAGTCTACATACCAGACATCCAGGACCACCACTCCTGAGCCTCCTGCGGCCACTGCCCTCTGCTTTTCTCCTCCTGCTCAAGCCAGGGTCTAGCTTCCTCCACTGCCCAAAGTTCCACCCAGGTTAGGAATTCAGATCCACTCAAACATGAATGTGTGAAAATGTCAAGAATGGCAGGGGGTGGTGGAGCCTGTGGCAAACCAGAGAGTGACTAAGGCATTTGCTTAAAAACATAGAAAAATGGGACTGTAGTTCAGTGGTAGAGCGCTTGCCTAGCACCATGTGTGAGGCACTGGGTTTGAGTCTCAGCACCACATAAAAATAAATAAGGTGAATGTACTGTGTCCATCTACAACCAATATATATATTTTTTTTCTAAAAAAAAAATTTTTTTTCTAAATGTACACTAGGCCAAATAAACCACAGCTGACAGACTCAAACAGCCCTAGGAGATGAGATGAAAAGAGACCCCAAATCACAACCCACAGCTGGTCCTTATGCACACATGTATACACACACACACACACACACACACACACACGCACCACGCACGCACGCAAGCACGCACGCACACACACACCCGTGTACCAGCGCTCTGGCTGCTTGAAAGAGTAAAGTTGTTAGCTGGCCACAATGGCGTATGCCTGTAATCCCACCGGCTCAGTACCCTGAAGCAGGAGGATTGTGAGTTCAAAGCCAGCCTCAGCAACAGTAAGATGCTAAGCAACTCAGTGAGAACCTGTCCCTAAATAAAATACAAAATAGGGCTGGGAATGTGGGCACAGGCGGGATGCAACCCTGCTCTCCTGGGCCACTAGGCGGCAATAGAGAGCACCATGCCAGCTCCACAGTTGGTTTTCACATGGACCCTGGACTCAGCTATGGAGAGCCTTTCTGTACCCCTTTCTCTTGGACCTCTTTCTTTCCCCACTACCTGGTCTAATAAGGGCAAGTACAGGTGTACAGAGCAGTCCAGAGGAATGCAGATGGGAGCTTCCAGAAGCTGGGGCATCTAGTGTGCCCACTATACCAATGGACTCACCCTCTTGAATGGAAAAGCCCTCACAAGCCTGGGTGGAGAGTGGGAGACACTCTGGGGATGGCTGGAGGCTCAGGGATGGAACTCTCCCTGGCCAGACTATAGATGATTATTCTGGCCACTGAACAGTGGCTCTGGGTGACATCTGTCTGCACACTGTTTCCCCCAGGGTGGCCTCCTGTGCCCCAGGACACTATCCTGAAGTGTCCCATCCCACTCTCTCTCCTCCTTTCCTTTCTGAACACAAGGACACCAACTTATCCACACCCTGCCCTCCTCCTCCTGGAAGCCTCCCGCCAGGGAAGGAGCAGGTGTGGCTTGGTAGGGTTGTGGGGAGAGCAGGGAAAGGGGTGAGGAAGGGAAGGAACTGTGTGGGAGCAAACAAGAGGCCCCTCACATACCCCTGTCTCAGGGAGACCCATGGCACCCCCAGGGCAGAGAACGTGGAAAGCAGCAAAATGCCCAGAAAGAAAATCTGTCAGTGGGTATGGGCTGGCCAAGGGGATCCCAGGCAGGACGCAGTCTGGGGAGAGCCCCACCCCACCCCTCCAATGAAGAGATCTCCCTTCCTCCCTCCCACCCCAAGACAGTGTGACTGGGCAGATATGGAGCAAGGCAAAGAACACCAGCAGGTGGCGAAGGTGGTCCACACGTGGTTGTTAATTAAGGCATGGAGGGAGGGACACGGGCCTGAGCACACGGACACCAGGTCTGAGTCATGACTCTGGCTCTAAGAAGCCAAACGAACTTGAAAGTCACTTTGCCTCTGGTCTTCAGTCTCCTCATCCGTGAAGTCAGCGGGTTGGGTCAGAAGTAGATGACAGATACAGCCACGTGGAGCACTGCCAGGAGGACAGTGGGTGGCCTCCGGGTGCAGGTGCCCAGGGTTCCCTCTGAGGTTCTCAGCAGGACTGCGGCAGGGGTCAGAGGAGAGGGCTGTTCCCTCAGGGCGGAGGGTGGACACTTCCTACAAGGGGGTCTCCTTCTCCCCAGCAATCAGCCCTTCTTTTGTGAGGGGGAGCCTGCAGCCCCCGTTGGTGCCTCCGTCAGGATGTGGGTGCTGCTTGGGCTGTGGCAGGCTGGAGTCGGGGGTGACGAGCTGTCGCAGGCGCTGCGGAGAGGAGAGGAGTGGCGGTGAGTGCATACTTTTGTGAGGGAGGAAAGGATGGCTCCTCATGTGTGAGCCTGGGCTCAGCCCAGAGCAGGGTATACAGGGACAAAGAGTGTTTCAAGAGAAGAGTCGAGAACACAGCGAGGAGGAGGGCACTGCCTGGCTTCCGGTGCAGGTCCTGCTCCCAACCACCTGCACACCCCTAGCAGCTCACTCAACTCCTCTGTTCGTTCACGCGATTGCCTCAGTTTCCTCATCTATAAAATGAGGATAACAGTAGAACACACTACACTGTTTAGTGATCAATAAGTGCATATTTTTGTTATTTATCACTACCATTCTTTTTATTACTCTTGGTATGTGCTCATAAGTATCTATTGTTTTTCCTGTTATCAGTGATACAACTATTACTATTGCTATTGACACTGGTCCTATCTCCTTCCCTTTTCTCTCTTTGAATGCAGATGTAACGACTGGAATCATAACTGCTTTTGTGTGACTATGAAGGGATAAGCATGATGAAATGACATTGTGTTCAAGATGAAAGCACAGAAATAAAGGAAGAGTCTAGTCCCTAATGTCCCCTTTAAGCAGCCAAACCAAATGCTAGCAGCCCCCGATTGATTTCCTTGATATGTCAAAGAACAAATAAACCTATTTGCTTAAACTGTTATAGGGTGGATTTTCTATTACTTGTAGGCCAGACAGACTTCGACAGATGGAACGTCTTTGTGGGTCATTAGCCATAGCCTCCGCCAGGAAGGCATGTCCCAAACTCCCAACAGGGAGCCTTTTTCAGTGTCTCCAAGCAGGCTTAAGATGAAAGGAAGTCAGGAGCCTGTGTGTGGAGTGAACCATGCTTACCAGTTTTCCAAGAGCAAGGTATCGATGCTCTTTAAGCTTCTGTGTCTAGGTCTCTCTATGTTCTTGTAACTTGGCTTCCCTTAACCCTTTACAGTTTACCCTTGATGATCTACCAGAGGTCAAGAAGGTTTCTGAAAGTAAAGCCATTGGACCGGTCAAAGCCCTTCTCTTTGAGATTCTGTGAGGCCACAGGCCCCCCCACCCCACCCCGCGCAGAGCCTGTGTGTGCAGCCAGCCCATCCTCTCTTGGGCCCGGAACCTACCTTCTTGAAGGAACCTTGGGTTCTCAGGAGGGTGATGACAATGAAGAGTGGGACACAGGCCATGGAGGAGAAAGCCAGGAACCAGCCGATGGAGTACCCCCAGGGAGGGTACACGTAGACATTGTTGTATTTGAGAGGCGTGTACTTGGTCAAGGAGAAGACAAAAGTGGCCTGGGAAGAGGAAAGGGCAGATGCGGATGAGACAGAGGGACATTCAAAGTCCCTCCCTGGCCACTTGAACAGCCCAAGACAGAATACAAGCAGGATGCACTGTGGTGCATCCCAGGTGGGACAGGAAAAGCCACAGCAAATCGTGACCCAAGGCATCACTCACAAGAACTGAGGCAGGAGGAGACAGAGGTGGGGCAGGGGGAAGTGGGTGTCCATAAGTCAGGCATCGCCTCTCACCCCACAAGTCTTCTGGGGGCAGGAGGGAGGAAGGGGAAGCAGACTGGACACATACCAGGCAAAGCCCCGGGGTCAGGAAGAGCCAGGAGATCTTCACCAGTGGCCAAGGCCGGTAGCCAATCATGTCCTCAATGTTGTCATAGAAACGGTCCGCCCCTGACCAGGTCCACCGTGGGGAAAGAGGGTGAGAAGAACTTCATGGGTCTTTGGGAAAGACTGGCCTGGCTTCTTCTCCACCCACCTACCCACCCACCCTGGGATGGGAGACAGGAACAGCTGTGAATGAGATGTGCCCCTGGAACCCCCGTCAGAGAGCAGGGAGCAGGGGCTGGTACCATCTCTGACTTCCTGTGTAAGGATGGAGTGGAGACCCCCACTCTCCTCATCACACAGGAAAGTGTGAGCCTGAAACGGGGCCAAGTGGCAGTGCAGATGCTTGTTTACCTGTGCCGCAGACATGGGTATGACTGGGGTCAGAGCAGCAAGGAGCCCCGTGCTCACACATACTATACCAAACTCAGGGTTAGAAAATTACAGGACAAGGGCCAGGATCCCAGACTCCAGGGGAACTACCTCTGCGTTCCAAAGGAAGCGTGATAAGGTTGATTTACGCTTTGGGAAAACCCTGGTTTTGTTTTTGTTTTGTTTTAATGTCCATAGGTTTCTACATTTGCTTAGGCAGAGCTGGTCTTCTCGCAGTGAAGAACCAACCACTCCTTGGAAAAGTCACATGGGGGACTCATCTCCCCACACCCCTAGGACCTCCCCACTGATTACTGCCACGTGAAATCCCACCATTAAAGAGTCATAGCTTTCACTTCTAAAAGCCAAAGTTAAAAGCCAGATGTTGCCAGGTGGGTATCACAGTCTAAGACCTCACTATGATTGAGTTTATCAGATCCTCTCTGAGAACAAGATTTGGAAAGGGGTAGAAGAAAAAACCAGAAAACATCAGAAGCTTGAAGGGAGAAGGTGAAGAGAAGAAAGGACACCAAGCAGGAAGACTTAGGGCAGCAAAATAATCAGCCCTCCTACTTGTAGCTTCACCTTGAGTCTTTTGACATGGGTATACTGTGACCCCAACCTGGTGCAGTGGAGCTAGCAGACCTGGGGTAGGACAATGGCCCTTCTACTTTCTAGCTGTGTGAGGTTAGGCAAGAGATGCAACCTCTCTGAACCTCCCTTTCCCCTGCAAAAGACTGTCATAGAGATTCTGAGATTGTGAGAGAGAAAGTGACCAGTTCAGTGCCTGACACAGAGCACACGGCTCAATAAAAAAGGTTTCTTTTCCTGGGAGTCAGGCATAGGGATGGCAGGGCATTAAGGCATTCCACAGCACTGCTGAAGGCCCCCAGGATGTTGGTGGAAATGCATGGAAGGCAGAATTCACTGCAGTGTGAGAAAGAAATGTGTAGCAGCCGCGACGGAAGAGGTTGCTTCAAAACCACGAGAATGAGCTTCCAGCCTGTGGAAGTATTCAAACAAAATCAGGTGACAACCTGGTTGTTTGAAAGGGAACACGGGAATCTGTGAAGGGTCAGACCAAGTGACCCCGACAGTCCCTTCCGACTGGGGTTCTACTGGCGAAGGGCCTCAGGCTGCCTCTGTGTCAAGAGCACCCTGCATGGCTGTTGATCACTCCTCTCTCTGGTCAAGGAAATCTGTCTTGTCATTGTCCCAGCTCTCACTGCCCTCGGGAGAGATGCCAGGCTGCCTGGCCGTGGCTGACCTTCCCAGGAAACAGGAACAGGACGGTGATGCAAAGGTTCTTAGGAAACACTCACCTCTTGGTCCAAGCAGACCCTGTCCTTCGCCAGGGACTCCCCTGCCCCAACCTCCTCCCACTCGGTCCTCAACCTCTCTGCCTCCTTACCGTACACCCAGCTGATGCAGATCACTTCAAACACGGAGAGGAAGAGCAAGCATATGCCACTGGAGGCATAGTAGTCAAACAGCTGGAAGATATACATCCCGCCCTGTGGAGCAGGGAGCAGGGCTCAGGCCTGGGGCCATGGCGCTGGTTGCAGGCTCCTCCAGGGTGGCAAATCCCCACCAGGGGTGCCATCCTGCCCTGCCCAGGGAAGTTACTCCTCGCATCTAAGAGGATGCTGGCCCTACCATAGATCCTTCAGTCGACATCCCAGCATCCCATCCTCTGGGAATGGACACCCACCTCCCTCTGTTCCTTTTGGGTTGGGGTATGCCACTCCCTGCAGCAGGCCTGGGTTAAGTCATGACCCTGACTCCTGCCACACTCAGGAGAAAGCCCCTTCTTTCCACTGGGGTTGGTTGGATGGGAAAAGGTCAGCTGGAAGTGGTACCAGCCTTCCTGGATATCACAGGAAGAAAACCTGCCTGAGGACAAAGTTACCAGAGGAAAGGGGAGCCAGGAGAAGGGACCGTGTCATTAATGCAGCTGGATCCAACTATGCCTAAAATCCAACTATCTCTAGACTTTGCAGCCACCCAACCCCCATTAATTCCCCTTTCTGCTTAACCCAGCTTGTATTTGGTTTCTTCGAGACCTAACTAAGGTAGACAGATCCCATCAAGCAAGGCTGGTACCACTTCCAGCTTACCTTTTCCCATCCACCCAAGCCCTGCGAGAGAAACTGAGCGGGTGTCAATGCCCCACTTAGCAGATAAGGAAAGAGTGGTTCCAAGAGGGGCTGGCAGTGACCCCAAGTCACCCTGTGATGAGCCTCAAAACAGGCTAACCACCCCGCTCACCTCGGTGACCATCAGGAGCCCTAACAGGTAGCACACCACAGCAAAGGTGAGGATCAGCAGCTCGCGCCGCCTGCTCTTTCGAAGCTGCCTGGGGAACATGTCCATGGAGGCTGTCACCAGGCACTCCAAACAGACAAACTGTGGGCCAGGAGGGGAGCTGGGGTGAGGGGAATGTGTGGGAGGCCGCCAGCCCCTGCCCAGCGCTCTCCCCGCCCCGCTCTGCCCTGGCCCTTCTCATCCCATTTGTCACGAGAAGGAGTCGGGGGTCTGGGTGAGGCCAGCCCTGCCCTTGTCCTCAAGAAGGAGTCCCAACAGGGAGGATGGAAGGGGAGATCTATCCTGCGCCCAAAGGTAGGAGGCTGGCACTGTGCTGGTCCTGAGCATCTGGGAGAGGCTGCAGGGTATTGGGGGACACCTGTGTATGTGGAAGGCTCAAGCCTTGAGAACAAAATGGGCACCCCCTCCCCCACCAACACACACATACAGAAGAGGGTCTCGAGGCCTGGGGCCACCAGCCAACCACAAGAATGAGCCCCAGACTGTAGAGAAGGGCTCAGATTCATGGGTAGGAGGAAAGGAGTGAGAACAGTGAGGCCAAGACAAGCAGAGGCCGGAAAGAAGGTCACCCGGGCAAGGCTGGGCTGGGTGGCATACCTGGCTGTCCAGCCCCAGGAATATGAGCATGACGAAGAAAAGGCAGGACCACAGCGGGGACAAGGGCATCATAGTCACAGCTTTGGGGAATGCGATGAAGGCCAGACCGGGACCTGCCAGGCACACAGCATGCTCAGCTGATCCAGGGTCTCGCTGCCCTCAGCAGAGCGCTAATCCCCTGCACTGTCCTGTCCGTGTCACGTGCACGGCTAGCTCAAGACAGGGCTAGCTCAAGACAGCAGGGTGAGTCCGCTATTCTACTCCCTGGGGACAAGGCCATTCCTTCATCCATGCACACACACACATGTCAGTCCATGCACTCGGCTCTTCCCCCCTCCCTCCTGCTTCCCGTGGTTCCAAAAGCCTTGCTTTGTGCCAAGCGCTGTCCTTCCAAGGCTAAAAGGTTCATACCACTCAGTTTTCTAGGGCTCCGGGCCTCTCTCCTTCCCCTCAGGTCCCAGGCAGACCGGGGCACCTACCTGACTCGGCCACTTCAGAAATGGGCACCCCCTGCTCTTGGGACATGAAGCCCAAGATGGAGAAGACGACAAACCCCGCCACAAAGCTGGTGGCACTGTTGAGGAAGCAGAGGGCGATGGAGTCCCTGTGGGAGTAGATTGATGCAGACAAAAGTGGGGAGCAAGAGAGGAAGAGTCCCATCAGGGAGGAGAGGAGGGTAAAGAGGAAAGAAGAAGGCAGAAGGGGAAGCACAGAGATGAGCCAGGGAGGGAGAAGGGAGAGAGAGACAAAAGTCAGGTGTCAGAGGAGGAGGAAAAGAAAGGAAGAGAGAAAGTGGGGAGAAAGAAAGTTAGCCTGGCAGAGTGTCAGTGGACACAAGGTGCCCCTCCCTGGGCCCAGGACGGTGGGTCTTGGTCTCGGAGCCCACCTCCAGGACTGTGACCCTCTTCGGCTCCCAGAGAGGCAGGAGTCACTCTCGCCCTGCCCCTGCCCCTGCCCCAGCCCTGCCAGTTCTCACTTGTAGCAGTTGTTGTGATACTTGTTGTAGCTGCCCAGGGCCGTGAGGCAGCCCTGGCAGATGGCAAAGGAGAAGAAGATCTGGGTGCCTGCGTCCATCCACACCTGCACGAGACCCCAAGAAAGTGCCAGGGTTAGGAGGGGGTGGCCACGGCCTAGAACCAGGGAAAACAGACCCCTGGCCATAGCATAGGTCCACCCCTCACTGTCCCCAAGAATGTCACACCCATGTGACATTAGTCCATGTGACATACTTCCCCTCGTGTCCTCCCGCCTCTCCACCGTGGACTTCTCACAGGCAAGGCCCATTTTCAGTCCTATGGACACTTAGGAAGCACCAAAGACATGTGTGTCCCTTGACTACCTCAGGTGTAATCTGTAAACTCAAGCTGTACCCAAGATGGGTGAGGCCCACCTACAGGGCAGAGCTAAGAGTCACCTGCATTCATTCAAATATTTGAGGCATGATGTATTTACATCATGCCTCAGGCAGCTGTGACCTGGGGCAAAGAGGCTGCTTCATGAAAATAGAAAGAAAAACCACCAAGACTTCATGGGCATGCAAAAATGTGCTCAGACAAGTCCTAGAGGAGGAAATGCAGTTGGCCAGTAACCATGTGGGAGATGCCCAACCTTGCCCAGAGTTTAAAAAAAAAAAAAAAGCTAAATTAAAATCATAAAGTGATACTGCTTGGACCTATCAAGTTATAAAAGATTAAAATAAATATTAATCAAATCTTGCAAAGGCCCTATAGGAAGAAGGGTATCCTCAAATACTGGTAGTAGAAATCTATATTTCTCTAAAGCCAGAACCAGTTGGGTGCAGTGACACACACCTATAACCCTAGAGGCTCAGAAGGCTGAGGCAGGAGGATCACAAGTTCAAAGCCAGCCTCAGCAATTTAGCAAGGCCCTAATCAACCCAGCAAGACTCTGTCTCTAAATAAAATATTAAAAAGGGATGGGGATGTGGCTCAGGGGTTAAACACCCTGGATTCAATCCCCAATACCAAAAAAAAAAAAAAAAAGGCTCTTTAAAGTCAGTACCAATCACAGGTTCAACCAACCACAGCAAAAATATTCACCCCAAAGATGTACCTCTACTGAACACGAACAGATTTTTTTCTTAAATAATACAGTATAACAACTAATTTTATAGCATTTATATTACAGTAACTACTGTAAATTATCTAGATATTATTTAAAGTATACAGAAAATTGCATTGGATTATATGCAAACATGATGCCATTTTATATACGACTTAAGCATCCAAAAAATTGGTATCTGTGGGGGCCATAGAACCAATCTCCCATGGATACTGAGGGATAACCCTATATTTAAAAATAGATATCACTACCAAGTGCAGTGGCACATGTCTAAAATCTCAGCAACTTGGAAGGCCAAGGCAGGAAGATCACAGGTTTGAGGCCAGCCTCAGCAACTTAGTGAAACCTTGTCTCAAAATCAGAAATAAAAAGAACTGGGGATGTAAGTCAGTGTAGAGCTTCTCTGGGCTCAATCCCCAGGAGTCGGGGAAAAATAGATATCACCTAAATGTCCAAGGGCAGGATATGAGCTCTAAGAGGGCAGAGAGACTGCCCTCTATCCACTGACCTCTCCCTGGCACTAGAACAGTACTTAGCACTTAATGGGTCCTCAGTATATTTTGTTGAATAAATAAATGACTAATGAATGGATGAGATATTATGCAGGTGTTAAAAATTACATTTACAGGTGAATTTGACAGCACGGAAAAGTCTCATAAGTGAAACAAGGATAGATGTGTGTATATATATATATATATGTCAAAACACACACACACGCCAACCACATAGTGAAAATGGTTGGAAGGAAATATTCTAAAATGTGGACAGAAATTGTACCTGAATGGTGGAATTATAAGAGATTTTAAATCTTTTTCAATTTTCTTCCATGTTATCTCATTTTTCTCCAGTGGGCATCTCTGGCTTTTTTACCAAAGGAAAAGCAATAGAAGACTTTCAAATGCAGACTGGGGTGGGGGCAGGACCCTCCACCTCAAAGGTAAAAGGTCCCACATGGTGCCCACCTGGGGGTCCTTGAGGCGGAGCAGGTCTGGTCTCAGGTAGTAGATGATGCCCTCATAGGCTCCAGGGAGGGTAACGCCTCGGATCAGGAGGATGACCAGCATCAGGTAGGGAAAAGTGGCTGTGAAATAAACAACCTGGAAGAGAAACAGGCCAAGGTCACTCCCGGTGGAGACCTGGCAGCCAGGACCCGGCAAAGAGTCTCCAGTGCCCCCCCCCACCCTCAGGTAATGCCAGTCACATAGAGCTCACCACCAGGTTCCACCATCATAGAAACAGCCTGGGGGAGAGCACGGGAACTTTCCACACCTCCCCTACACATTCCAGTGGCCCTGCTCCCCAGCCCAGTGTGAGACACACATTAGCAGGGCAGGGGGAGGGGCAGGGACTCATCTGAAACCCAGAAACTGATTAGCCTTCATCCTTCAACCTGGCTGCTCTCCCCATGGCCATGGTGAGGGTGGGACTGGCCCTCACAGAAAAAGTGGCCAGATTTGGACAGTGATTTGCAGGAAGATTCAGACTGTACTTTTCCAGGCTTAGGGTTGGGGAAGCAGCCGTGGCCTGAGCTCAGCAATCCTAGGGACTCACAGAAGGTGTTCCACTCTGTCCCTGACCACACTCAGCTCCTTACCAAGGGAGCGAGCGGCCTCATCTGTGTGGTTAGGACTACTATTATTCTTATCATTAGTATTGCTTTTATTTTTACAACAACCCAAAGAAGAGGAGGCTGCTGTGGGAACAGCCTAACTGTAGGGCTGATCAGAACAGTCAGCATCCTGCCATTCCTGGCTTTCAAAAACACCAAGCAGCATCTTTGGCTCTCTTGTGTTGGAAATCAAGCTCAAACCCCAATTCTCTCTATATAATAAACCCACTGTTACCCAGTTTTGGCTTGAACCCCATCAGCAACTAGCAACTCACCACCCCAAAGACATTTCTGTTTGTGACTTGTGCTAAAAATATTCTCCGTACAGAGTACCTGGGATTACAAGCATGAACCACCATGCCTGGGGTCAATGTAGTTTTGATTTGCACTCAGTAATGACTAATGATGTTGAATATCATTTCATAGGCTATTTGTAGGTCTTTTCTGAGAAATGTATACCCAAGTCCTTTTCCCTTTTTAAAATTACATCATGTATTGGTCAAATTATATTGCTATATTGTGTGCATATATGAATATGTAACAATAAATCCCATCACTATGTACAACTACAATGAACCAATAAAAAATCTGAAATAAAAAGCAAAATAAAATCTAAAAGGTAAAAAAAAAATATTCTCCTTATGTATTAAATTCAACAAGCAGTTGAGTTGATGTAAGAGTGTGTGTTCCTAATTTGTGCAATATATACACATAATGGCTACAGACACACACCTACATACCTATGAAAGGAACGAGGAGGCCACACAGAGAAAGTGAACTGGGATTAGCAGATCCAACTGCCATCATGCTGGTGGCCTGTCCAGTGATTAGCTCCAACAGTGGAACTTTTATGGTTCTTATTTTGTTCTGAATATTGCTTACATAAACAGGTCTTTTAAAGTCTGTTGAAAACAGAAAGTATTTCCTTGTTTTGAGCTAAACTTTGCCTTCCTACAACTTCCCTCATCCTCACCATGCACCTCCCCTCTACCACTCTCTCAGTTCTCCTGAGGGCCCTCCAGGGGTCTCCATGGACTTTGGGGGCCACAGAGAGCCCAACGGGAGCCTGAACACCTCACCTTGCCCGTGGACTTGACCCCCTTCCAGATGCAGAAGTAGCAGACGATCCAGGCAAGCAAGAGGCATAGGGCCAACTCCCAGCGCAGGGTCCCGAGGTCATGGATGCCCGAGGTGATGCCCAGAACCCGTCTCCTAATGGATTGGGAAAATTAAAAACCCGGTGAAAAGCTAAAAAGGATGGTTGTCCATCACCACGTGTCCTGATTCTTAGAGCTGACACCACAGGCCTCACACTCCAGGGCTTCCTCCGTTCCCAGCCCTGCTCACCTTCCCTGTGGCCATGCCATGTTCCCACCTGTGGTCTGTATGGCCCTGGCTGTTAGAAGGCCAAATCATCATAATCCCATAGGTATCTGTGTCTTTCTAACTCATCCAGATTTCTCTGTTGTACAGATAGAGAAAAAGAGAGTGGGGATGGTGAGGAACGCAGAAACAACACGTCCATGGAGAGTAGATATTTGTATATGCAGGGTGATGGGCAAGAATGCGAGTATCGCAGGGAGGGGCTGAACCCTAAAGTGTTGGGCTCTAGAGATGTGTATGGGGAGATGGAGATGTGGGTATGACTGAGAGAGAACTTTAGGTAATCAAGGGCTTGCATGTGCGAGGGTGTGGGCAGACACAGGGTGTTGGTGAGCATGTGTGGGGACCTGTGAGAGAAGGGACGTGTGGCGAGGTGGAGGTGGAAGTGTGCGTGATCCCATGGTAAGGTGAACGTGTGAGCGGAGGGCCTGCCCATTTCTGTGGTATAAATATTCTCACATTGGCCAGTGTCAGGTTGCCAATGTGACATCACTGAATACAGAGTTTGGAAGAGATGGTACAATGGGCTCTCCTGGGGCTGTGGAGGCTGTTTCCAGCACACCATTGGACATGAGTGGGGTGGATGTGAGGGTGTAGGTGGATATTCGTGAGACTGTAAATGATGTGGAGAGAAAAATGTGAGTCTACGTGGACTCATGTGGGTTTGGGGTGAGTGTAAGGGGACAGGTGGACAAGCGTGGGTGGATGCGAGATTGTTCTCTCATCCTTCAGTGATGGGGGGTAGGAGGTGCATGAGTGCTAGAAAGCATGCACAGAGAGTCTTAAACTTGCACCCCAGACTTTCAAATTCGCACAATTCAGACATGCAGACTGTCTGCTTAGGGGCCCCTGACATGTGACAACCAGGCCCAGCACCTACTCCCAGAATTCCATGACAGGTGAGGTGAAGTTCACAGAATGGGTCACTTTGCTGGCTCCAGAGTGGTTCAGAAAGTCCATGCAATGCTCTGTTGGGGACAAGGTAGAGTGCATGTCAGTTAGGGACATGATGGGGAGAGATGTCCCCACATCCAATCCCCCCCAGCCTAGGGGTCTCTAACATTCTAGTCGACCTTTGGACTCCCCACTTTCCAGAGTATCAGAGGTGAACTTCTGAGGAGGTTCATGGGACCAGCTTCTCCTCCTCATGTGGCCTGTGCTCACTGCTCTTGTACTCAGTGAGCCTGGCCACTCAGCTGGCCACTCTATCAACCTCTGGCATCATCCAGACTGAAGATGATACAGCCCCAATATGAGTAGTTCACAAGGATAACTATCACCCCCATCTACAGACAAGGGACCAAGGCCAGGTGCAGCTCTTCCTGGCTTGATGCTGCTCACATGCTTCTCCCTCCCACTGTTACATAGTTAATTGTCTGTTTCTTCTACCCATAATGCTTTGTTCTTGTTGAACTATTTCTACAGCTCTACAGTAAGCTCAGAAGAGGGCTGGGTCCAAGTTGCCCTTGCTTGGCCTTGGAGCGGTGTTTGGCACATAATAGGTGCCCAATAAATATTGTTAAATGATGAATGATCACCTCTTGCTACAGGCCCACTGGGTTCTCACAACTGTACTTCATTCTCCCAGGGGCTGGTCTAAGGGCCCCCAGAAGGATCAGCCAGCAGAATGGCACCAAAGCCCACATGGGGTGGCTCTGAGGCCAATTCTGCCATATGCTGACCATCACCAGCCACCATGGCCCAACCTCAAGGGACAGACACCATCCCAGGGGCTGAAAGAATGGATACCTGTGTTCCAGTAATTGGTGCAGGTTGTCCAGGGTAGCTCAGAGGTGAAGGAGCTGAACAGGTAGAAGAGGGCCCAAGCAAGGATGATGATGTAGTAGATATTCAAATAGGACTCGATGACCACAGATGCCAGTCCAATGCCTTCCAGAGTGAATGGTGGGGCGGGCAAGGAGAATCCAAGAGATAAACATTAGCAAAAAGCTGCCAGGTGTGGCTACAAGGGTCTTCTTAGAGTTGGGTTTATTCATTGACATGAGAAGCCATTTATAGCCTTTTTTCCAAGTAAGAAAAGCAGGTTATAAATCATCATCCTATATATTCTCTCATTTTTGTAAAACATATTTGAGAGTGTCTATTTTTTTTATTTTAATTTGTTATACATGACAACAGAATGAGAGTGTCTATTTTTGTTTATGAGAAAACTCTGGAAAGATTCCCACCCAAAAGTTAGCAAGAAGTTCTTGAAGTGATAGGATTTTGGATTTTAGTTTATTTTTTCAAGCTTTTTTTTTTTTTCATTTTGCTTGTTGCATTTTCTGATGTAATTGTGTATTACTTGCAAAATGAAAAAACAGGAAGGATAAAGGAGTAAGAAGAGGGAAATGGTAAAAATGTATCTCAGGATAAGAAAAAGAAAACAGCCAGGAAGAGAGAAGCGGCCCTTGACATGATGTGCCTGGCCCAGCGTCCAGAGCCCCTTGCTGCAAAAGTTGAGCTTCCATTTTAGCCTTATCAGGCAGGTTCTGGTTGGTGGGGTACACTTGGTCTCTTTAATGGAAACATGTGCTATAAAAGTGGAATCTTGCCAGGCATGATGGTGGACACCTCTAAATTCCAGCCACTCCAGAGGCTGAGTCAGGAGGATCACAAGTTCAAGGGCAGCCTCAGCAATTTAGCAAGGTTCTAAACAACTTAAGGAGACCCTGTCTCAAAAAATAAATAAATAAATAAAAAAAAATAAAGTGCTGGAGATGTGGCTAAATGGCTGAGCACCCCTGGGTTCAATTTCTGGTACCTAAAAAAATAACAAATTAATTAAATAAAAGTAGAATCTCCTCACAGTCATTTTAGAAGCAGCATTTTGCCAGGCTGAATGAAAGCCAGCTGGGAGGGGTGGTGGGTGGTGCTCTCCCAGGCCAAAGCCCACCCGGACTTTGTCCACCGGGACTGAGTTCTGGAGAACAGAGGACACAGGCTGATCAATGCTGTTTAACGAAGACTGTGGCCTGTGTGGAACAACCCGTTAGCCTCAGGGCTGGCTCAGAAATCAATGCTGACCGTGAACCGAACTGCCCCTTTGCGGGAAGAACCCACTCGCGACTGTTTTGTCCCATCCTGGCAAAGGGCGGTTTGCAGGCGTGGTGGTCCCCCCGCGTCTGCGGCCAGGCTGGGGCGCTGCGGGGGCTGAGGAGCCAGGGCTGCCGTGGCCGAGGGCTCCCCCGGGAGCAGTGGGCCAGCCTGGGGGATGTTTCCGGGCCACACAGACTCCCACTCAGACTCCCACTCAGACCACGAAAGCACAAACAAGCGGCCTCTGTGCCAGCCTCCTGAACACTGCGCTCCCCGTGGCTTGGCGGGACCTGACAGGGCGGGGATCAGCGGGTCAACCCCCAGGACCGCCGAG